TGATTTTCCCCTGCCAAAAAAAGAAACACTATCCGACGTTGACGGTGAAGCGGTATGTTCTTAACACATTAGTCGCCAGTCACTAGCTCGGCCCTTACTAGTCTTAAATCGGAGCATGAGGAATTAGGCATAAATTAGAAGCTCACGATGATATTCTCTGATTTTCCTTATTTTACTTCATACAAACTATGTAGCAATAGACAGAAGGATTACTTGCATACTACACACCGCACAATAACTATGTTTCCTAAACAATTTCATTACATCATAAGATTAGTACCTACTTGTTTAAAAACACCAACGACTGTCGAAACTATTGTCATGCCGGAGTTTCACTGGTTCACCTATCGAAAACATTTTCGCCGTGATTGACTCAATAGAGCACATCTATTTAGTAAAATATAAATAATTATGTATTATTATGCAAATAGTAAATAATTATGTCAAAACATAAAAAAATCTTATAAGTCATAACATTACTAGTCTAGACTATTAAATGTGGGAGAGCCATGCTTCGGCACGAATGGGTCGGCTCGACCGGAGTGATACCACGGCCTCACAGAAAACCTGCGTGAAACAACCACAGCGTTGTGTTTCGCCGTGTGAGTGAGGTTACCGGAGGCCCAATCCTTCCCCTCCCCCAATCCCTCCTCAATCCCTAAATGTCCAAATCCCTAATCCCTAAAAGGTCGGCAACGCACTCGTAACTCCACCGTTGCGGGTGTCCATGGGCGGCGCTGATTGCTTACCATCAGGTAATCCGTCAGCACGTTTGCCGACACCTTACATTAAAAAAAAACAAGAGTGTAACGAATGAATAAACGTACGAGCAAAATTATTCATAAATCATTCATTTACAAATTACATCAACCTATACTAAACTGTAATTTTCATTGATTACGTTATCTACTTTACCGGTAGTTTCCAGTTTCGCGGGATCACAGGGTCCCAGACCTTTGGAAGACATACATGAGGCCGAAGCCCAGTTGCAAAGGGTCTTTGAACAACTTACGCCTTTATGCACTATGAAAGTGCACCCAAGGATAATCCCCGGTTGGGGCAGAACTATTGTGGAATATTGTAGAAAATTGTATGGTTTTAGGTGTTTGTGACTGGCTTTGGACTGGTAGATACTGTAAATAGTAGAATTTGTAAGTTTGTATGTAGCGGGCGCAATATTTGGAACCACTGGTAGGATTACCAAAATTGTTTCACTGATAAATAACTACAATGTTCCTAAATGCTATAGCCTATAAATTATACTTGATTTTCAGTTTTTAATAGAGCTATCCCTTTGAACGCTGCTATTTTTAAAATCTAGGGCTACATCCTTTTATACGCGTGCTAAACCGCTTATTTATTCTTAAAAATGTTACAAACGGAATACTTAGATATTATGATACTTATCCAAAATGCCAGTGCTGTGCAGTGCCTATGTGTGCAAATAAAAAAGGAGGACATAAGTTCCCTACAGAAAATTAAAGCCGATTAAACAGTGGCTTGTAGCCATAATAAAATCAATAACACTTCCAAATACATAAAATTTTACTAAAATAATAATACGTTCGGTAAGAATGTGTGCTATCTGACAGCTGTTTGCATTATCTCGACAAATTGAAAAAAAAATACGATTCAACAACAGACCTACGCCATTTGACTATTCTTTACATTTCACAACAAATTGCCCGTGATACCTATTGGATTAAGGTTTTTTCTAGATTTCATTTCTTTGAAGTACCGTTATGTTGAGTTAGTAATATTGCCACTTAGTATGCATTGGCATCAAACTTAACGTATATTATAGGTCTTTACCTATGAAAAATGCCGTTCTGCAGTACACAAAAACTATACACACACACGTACACGTACACAGTGTACACAAAAGACTTAGGCTAAGGCTAAATAATTTTGTTTTAAAAACATGGGATTCTTTTTCCAAAAGTAGTCATTTGTTTATTGATTAGTGTTACATTTTCTTCGCATATCAAATCAAAAAACTCGTTTAAATTTTTTCATCCAAAACGGCAATTTCATAGGGAAAGACCTATTATAAGATTTCAGCTCAATTTATTGATAATATGTTGTATATTAAAAACAATCTCCAAGATGCCACAGGTGCATACATAAATTGGAAGGTAAATAAAAGCTTTTAAAAACCATGGAAAACGTGCGTGGCAGCTTTATACTATAATTAATAAATTAATTTATTAATCAATGACGTTGACAGAGAGGTTGATGAACTCGCTGAACACAATTCTCTGTCTCGACCATACGTTAATGGGCTTTTAAATATCAAAATTGACAATAAGTGGAACTGTTGAGTACTTAAAATAATCCCCTACTCGACCTGGCGTGCTTGCAGTTTCTCGATAAACGATATCAGGGGCCCAATCAAGTCTGCTATTTTCAAAATACTGTCATTCCAACACGATCCCATTGTCATTATGCTAAAAGTTAATATTCTGTCATTTAATACTGGCTGATCAAAGGCGGTCAGCGGTGTCGTAATAGAATTTTGGTACGAGCTGTTTTGTACAAATTATAAACTGTAACTGCACAATAATATTCTAATCTAAAATCACTGCTTAAAGGGAACTGACCAAATTTTATTAATTTATTGCATTATGTGAAATTTTCATTCGTAATCATGTACGAGATTCTCAATGAAGTGTCACTAGTTGACAATTGGAAATTGCGCCAATATGTTAAAATTAAGTTAATAAGTTTATCAAACATTTCCAAATCAAAAATTTTGAAATCAATGATCCATTATTCTAACAATGTAATGGCAGACTTGAGGCCCTGTTATATTTGCTACACTGATTTGATGGATGCATTTGGACGATGTATTCAATTTTCGAGAGAGATTACCGAATGATATTAAAGACCGTTGTTAATGTACACACACATTCAACGTTAGTTTACTGATATGCATGAAATTCAGCATTATTCCATTCGCCAAAACCGCCAACGGTCCGTCGAATGTTAACCATTGATATTTGGACAGCGAACCAGTGCCATGAAAATTCGGAGCACATTATTTGATATGGCTTTACGTTCAAACCTGTTAGTGCCTTTGTTAAATTGTATTGTACGCCGATTAATGAAAATGCTTTTAAATAAAACTATAATCTCTACTGGAATATTTCAAACATTGTTGTCATGTTTTACTTTATAATTTGTTCAATTTGGATGCACAATAACTAAGTAAGGATAATCCATCAGAATATATTACATTATTATTTAAAGGATTTCAAAGAATTTTATAGTATAATATACTTGCAGTAAGATTTTTGCTCTATTTTTACGCTTGCATAATAATGCGTTGTTGAGCGATTTTATTCCATACAGCTACCTGACGTGGATCTACTAGGGGTGATTATTCTTTACAACAAATGGCGAAAGTACGTTTACAGTAAGTACTTCCCTAAAATTGTCAGAAACATTTTGACACCACCCTAAAAAAAGTACCTACATACCTAAAGAAATTTATTTGAAGCATTAACAAATTAAATGTTATGAAAAATATTTAGTTTTATATACATAACATTTATTTTTTGCAAAGTAACGCTTGATTCTATAAATTATCTTTGCATTACCAAATATTTTTATTTGTTACAAAAAGAAAACTGCTGGTTGAACATCATCTTCTACATTGAACCGCAATGAAAATATCTTCGAGTGAGATGGAAAAAATTTAGTGATGTGTTTTATTTCACTCACACGTCGACTTTACGTTTGCACGTCACACAAGTCGTAAAGGTAGTCTCGACTCGACCTAAAATGTCCGATGGAATTGTATTGCAACTGAAAATAGCCAAAGCGAATTTGTCAAACTGTTTAAATTCTACAGTTGATAAGATAAAACGACATTGCCGTGACATAAAGATATTGGACTGTTTTTAAGTATAAAATCGACGTTCGTGTCGGATGGTTGTATGGATATTTTTGGAAATTTCAGGACTTTATTAAAGGTATATTAAATAAAATTGGACCTAGCTCGTAAAAGAGGATATTAAATCCATCGTTGTGCCAATAGAGGCTGTGGATGTTACGTATTTTCGTCCAATAGAGCTTAGCTTAGTAAGTACTAAACCATACAATGTAAATTTTTTGACAGCTTCGGTGATTTGGTAAGCAATCGTCTTGCTAGAGGTCACTTAAAAACTGTAACCGCTTATATACGATCGATCCAATCAATTTATACACAAATTATTTCGGGGAGAAGTTATCTGTCTCTTCTTTATTATTATCTTTTGTAAGATCATATCCATATTGTTAGTATATGTTTTTTTTTATTTTTGTTTTACATTTGCAATGTTATAATTTTAACCTCCAATAAAGTAGAATATCTATTATTACATTGGAATAACCTGGCGTCTGTGTAATGCAGTCTTTTATCTTCCTTTTAGCATAGCTATCACTAGTTCTGTTCTTGAAGGTTATCACACTGAACTAGAACACGCAAGTTAAACCGCAAGACTTAATACATAGGATGAAAGGGTACTGGTAACCCAACAATACAAGGTCTCAGACGCTACTTAAAATTAGTTACAAACCCATTAATTGGTCGAGAACTAGTCCAAGGACCCTCAATTTAGATTAAGGTTTCGTAATACGGGACTAAAAGCTTGCGTGAACAAATAGCAATCAGGTTATGGTGGAATATATGCTAATGCAATTTTGATGCCAGAGCGAACCGAGTCCGCGCTCCACGCTGATAAATACGGATATTTTGAGCTTCGTTAGTGGTACAACTTTGTCCAATTGTTGGATGGAAATTAGGTGAAGGTTTTATATTTTTTGTCCTTGAACAAATATGCATTGTAATATGTCACAAAGCTGGTTTTATGCGTGAAGAACGTAGTATTTCAAGCAAAGAGGGAAGTTTCGAAAACCGATACATTCAATAATATTATGCCAGTACACACGATCTGGTCAACGTAATGTCCTAAGGAAAAAAACAAACTCTATCGTAAGGGCTAAAACAAAAAACTTACCTTTTTCTCGAGTCCCAGCATGATTGCGAAGAAGAGAATAAAGATGATAGTCGTGGACTTCGTCATTGTGTACAGGGAGATCGTGACTAACTCCAGTCCCCAGTTCGAGAATCCTACATCAATGCCGCTGGCCAAGCCAGTTGGCCCAACGGACTTAAGGCAGGTCATGCATGGCAGTATTAGTTGAGGAGTGCCTGTGATAATCTGGAGTACCACCCTCACGCAAACGGATAGAATCCATTTAACTATGAGGTGGTACATCACCACGGTGAGCGGAAACTTGAAGTCCTGGAAGAGAAGTCTCAATTAGTCGTTTTATAAAAATATTCAAAGATGGCAGTTGACTCGCCTACTCCTAGGTGGCACACAAGTACATGTGGACCTCTTTTTATTTATGTGTGTCTATGTGGGATACACAAAGAATTAAAGAATGTTACCTATATAGGATACATTCGGTTTCAGCCAGTTATTGTTATTCTACTAGTGCAATTCTACGCCTTATCAAGGTAATTTTCAATTTAGATTTGTTACAATATCCCATTCGAGTATTAATGATAACTCAACCTTACTAGAAAAATAGAAAACAAGTGAAAACTCAGCCTAAAGTCAAATACTAGGCTAGATTTGCAGTCTTTATGCTAATTAAGTACGTTTTTCTTGGATACAAAATTTTCAGTTTCCAACTTTGTAAACTGCTAAATAGAGTTCAATACCACTTTGTTTCGAAGTACTAAGTAAGCATAACTAGAATAATCTTTATCTTACTTCTTTTACCGAGTTCAATTAAATGTCAGTTATGGTAATGGAATGAGTTCGAGACCTGACGCTGACTTTTTAATTTTCCGCTTTTATGAGTTCTTTGTTACACTGGCAACGTTCTCAGCTCACAATGATAACGTCAGGTAGGTTGGCTCTAGAAGAATGAAATGTTAAGTTTGTATAGTGTTTAGATTATCTAGCTTTAAAGTTTATGTTTTTTTTTTAGTGTAATAGGTCGGCAAACGAGCAGACGTATTACCTGATGGTAAGCAATCAGCGCCGCCCATGGACACCCACAACGGAGGAGTTACGAGTTCGTTGCCGACCTTTTAGGGATTAGGGATTTGGAGATTTAGGGATTGAGGGAGGGGAAGGATTGGGCCTCCGGTAACCTCACTCACACGGCGAAACACAACGCTGTGGTTGTTTCACGCCGGTTTTCTGTGAGGCCGTGGTATCACTCCGGTCGAGCCGACTTATTCGTGCCGAAGCATTGCTCTCCCACACTTAAATGTTGCAGAACTGGTATGTGTTAATGCTTAACGTTGTGTTATTGGAAAAAATTGATGGAAACATGGCTGACAATGACGATCACGATATTATACCAGAGTGGTTGGCAGTTGAGTTGAGATTCTACACCGTTTTTTCTCAAATACGCCACGAACGAACGAAGCCAACACGCGGTATGAATGCATGCTTTTGTTCTAAAGGTTATCACATCATGAGCCTACAAGTACCCACTGATGAGCAAAGACCTCTTTTCACACGGAGAAGGTTTGGGCAATAATCACCACGCTTGCTCAAGGCGGATTGTTGAATTCGAACTAATCACAAATAGTACATATAATTCGGAATAAGTCGTATTGTGTCAGGTTTCGAAGCCGCACCCTAATGCATGAGAAGCGGGCGCCCGCCTTGGCTTTCAAGCCACCACGACCCTCACGATGTCAAGGTTATCGCCGTACCTAAACTCGATGAAGTAAAGCATCGAGTATCGTCGATCGTCGAACTATCAAACTTCACCTTGTGCAAATTGTTCGATAAAATTAAAATTCTCTAAAACTCATTAAAATCTCTTTTAAAAGCAATCATGGCATAAGCTTATCCGACATGGAATGAAACGTAATAAATTACCTGTACCTGTAACTACTAAAACACTGAGCATTTTCATTATCAGTTAATTTTTAGTTCTTTATCGATTTGTAAATATAAATCATTCGTAGAGTGCGATTGCAGTATGCGTTTGTATTTTTATATAGCATATAGCATTGATTTCTGTTCATATTTTATACCAATACAAAATAAACTATAGAGAAATGTGTGATTTTTACTATCTTTATATATATAAATGGATCGCAAAATGTATTGGTAAGCGCATAGCTCAACAACGCCTGGACCAATTTTGCTAAATCTTTTTTTGTTGCGTTTGTTATTGTCAGGAGAAGGTTCTTATAAAAGAAAATATTAGAAAAGTAGAGGGGGAGATTAGGAAAGTGACCATTTGATAGCGAGATAGTTGGACCCGTGCGAAGCGGGGGGCGGGCCGCTAGTTTTCAAATAAAATAGTGTTTACTATTTCTTTACTTAATAATGAAGTGACCATCAAATAAGTTAGTAGAAAGTTACAAAGTTAAATTAAAGTTGCAATATCTCTAGGATACCTACTTATTTACCTAATTATAATTTCATTTTATTGTTTTGTTTAAAATATGTACTTGTTGACCCTAGAGTCAAACCCATTGCCCAGCCACCACGCCCACGGTTTTGTGGGGCTTAGCTTATATTATTCTTCATTCAATTCAACGTTCTGTTCATTTGACCATACGATGAAAAATGTAAGATCACAAAGTCATTTCTGTTGCATGGGAGCCCGCCTAATTATTTTTAGTATTTGTTGTTAAAGCGGCAATAGAAATATATATATCATCTGTGTGAACTACGTCATTTCTTGAAATGCCTACAGCCTGGTGACAGACGTTTCTACCCTACTACCGAACCCGAAATAACTTTTAAAATAATCATATTCTGACCAGACAACAACGCCATGTTATGAATCTCTTAACGAGCCTAATAATATACATATATATCATTATACTCTATACCTAGTAATATTAAAATAATGTTCGGTAAAAGTGACGAAATTCTGACCACTACTATCATTTTAATAGTAAACCCAAAACCAAATGTTTTGCCTGTCATTTATTTAATGTCAATCAATGAATGAGTATTGAAGAGACCAAAATTTGCGATAACATTATAACTTGCTACTTAAAACTATAACGCAAAGTTTATTTGGCTGCACAGTTGGACCAGTATATTTTGTTCTTACACGGAATAATTTTTATGTGATCCATAAATGCAAATACAAGTAAGAGTGGAATTACTAGTGTAATTTATTGTCACAATTATAAAAGAAGCGTAACTGTACGAAAAATTAGCGGTATTATAATCCATTCATTCGCATTTTAGTGTAATGTGTAATGTTGAATGTGCTTTTGCGGTCAACCATAGCGACCGAGCACGGCGCCCAATTATCGTTGAACCAAGCTTACAATTTACACGTAATACACAGACGAGTGCACTTTAAGTTAATCCCACCTTATGGAATTATTGTAACAGATTTACATGTGTAAGTTAGAAGACAAACGAGCAAGATGTTATAGACTAAGTTCTAATTTTGGCAGATCTATCACCTGAAGTAACTTATCGGCATTGCCGGCCTTTTGGGGTTAGTGTGGGATACCCGATGGATGAGGATAGGTGAGGGGGGATTGCATCTCCAATAACTTCACCCACACAGCGAAACACAACATAAGGGTTGTTTCATACCGATTTCCTGTGAGGCCATGGCATCATTTCTGTCGAGCTGGCTCGTTAGTGCCAAAACTGTCAGTTTTAAAACACCGGCAACGTACTTTTAAAGTCTTTCGGTGTTTAGGTGTTCTTGGGCAGGCACCACAATATTTTTTTTTTTTTTTACTTGCAATAAACCAGTGCTTGACTGCGATCCCACCTGATGTTAAGCAGTGATGCAATCGTTGATGGTAAGGCGCACTAGTTTATTAAGAGCCTATTCACTCTAGCCTTGAAGACACCTAAATTGTATTCGGACGGAAAGACTGCAGCCGGCAAACTGTTCCAATCCCTCGATGTACGCGGTATAAATGACGAGGCAAAACGCTTAGTCCGGGCCGAAGGTGTCTCAACAACGTAGGGGTGGATATTCGCCGTACGCCGGGATGTCCGAAGGTGAAATTGGGATGGCGGAATCAAATCGTGCAATTCCTGGGCACACTCTCCAAAGTGTATCCTGTAGAAAACCGCAAGGCTGGCTACTCTGCGCCTGTGCTCGAGACTTTGAATATTGGACCCAACCAAATCTGGATCTCCAATCAGCCTCTTTGACACCAGGTGAATCGTTTGCGAAAATTAGAGCTTCGCCCAAAGCTTCTTGAATTGAGAAATGCGTGTGAAAGGATTGGTAAAGTAAAATAAATAAAAAAGGTATGGAAGAATTGTGTCATTTATGCCATACCATGTAAGTTACCAATTTTTCTACCTAAACAAATGAGGGATCTGATAGGCGTCATACATACCTACATTATTATGTATGCAGTTGAAAATTTATTGTGATACGTCATCGTAGGTCCGCGATCTCTTCTGTATTTATTTATTGCCATAAACTGCACAATCATACCAAAATGTATGGTACCAATTAAATTAATAACATATAAACAGACATGCAGCTGCGGTTGAACTAAGATCCTGAATTTTCGATCAAAATTTCCATGAATTGTCATAATAGCGCGGGCGACGTATTTTAGAATTATGAATGTCTACTAATTTATTTGTAACAAGTTGGAACGGGAGTTGTATTTACATTTTAGTTTTAAATTAATTAATTTTTTCTTTGACTATTGTGAACGTGTGTTTGAATCTCGAATAAACCATGGATTTTCTAATTCTGTTCCAAGTCATGTATGGCTATAACATGTAATCTGTATGAACCGAATTTAATCTGTACGCAGTTTTTAAGAGGTGGGCAACCGAGTAGGCCTTACGCTTGAAGGTAAGAAATTAGTGCTGCTCATAGACTAGCAAAACTTTTTAAAAAGTGTCTATGCTTGGAATAAAGATAAATTAAGTAGGAAATAGAACATAAAAACAGATAGCTGGCAAAGAAGAAAAACTTTTGAAACAAATATCTTTAAAGCATACAGACTTTTTCACATAATAATGTAAAGATCAAAAAATAAAATAATTAGTCTTAATAGTATTAGGGAATCGTAGCATCCAGACTATATTTTCACCCACTCCACGACAGCGCGGGCGGTCTGAATCAATTACGTACTGGGACGGCGGCGCATTTTATTCCATGTATTACAAGAGAATATTGCATCTTATTATTCGTTCCAGACAGCAACGAGTAGATTCTTGTTACAAGAAAATTAATTGAAGGAAATATTACAAGTTATTTTCTGATCTTCTATTGTTGCTGTGCCCTATTCTTGTGCCTCAACGGAGAACAAGATGTTGAAGAATTACGATTGAAGTTTGTTTTTTATTTCAGCAGAACGGCTAATTAGACCAATAGAAACTAATATTGTAAATGCGAAAGTAACTCTGTCTGTCTGTCTTTTCTTCAGGTCTGTGAAATTTGGTACAGACATAGTTTGGAACTCGAGAAAGAACATAGGATATTTTTTACCAAAAATTGGCAGGAACTCACTATTCCACGCGTACGGAGTCGCCGGCAAAAATAGTGCTACTTTATAAAAGAAGACATTTTAAATACAAAACATAAATTCAAGTTAAGCCAACAGCAAATTCTTCTTGAACGTCAAAAGCTACAAACGATAGTCCTTTACGGAGTAGAAACGGCGGCATCGCGAAAAATCCCGCAGGAATGCATTTCCATTCCGTTAGTATGGGAATATGCAATACATTCGTGCATACCAGGCCCGGAATCGCAATGCAACTACATTTCATTTATAGACTGTTAGCTGAGGGGGGCGTTAACAAATTGCATTACAGTGCGAACCACTGTTCAAGTGTGTCTACACCACTTGCGGTGTTTTAAATAAGTGACGATTTCCGCTTGTTTTATTACTTATTCACATGGGTAAGGGCGTAAAACTGTTTCTCGAGTAACAAAAACAATGTTTGATTTTAAAGTACGTAAGTACATAGCCGATGCCTAAGGGAATTCTCATAGAATTCTTCATAATGGAGAATTTTAATAAGTGCTGTCGACAAAAAAATGAGTACAAAATTGTACTTAAATTTTTTGTCGAAACATGTGTATTTTCGCGGTTTACTTAAAGTATCATAGTCTTTCAATTAAAGGAGACTCAATAAGGAAAAACATCCTGAAAATGTGGCATTACGGTACGTATTAAATAATAATTTCAAGATCATGTTTTTATCATCTATTTTTATATTTATGAACAAGAAGTTATTTTCTGTTGGTTGTTTTTTTGTTGAGTATAAATCTCGTGGGAGACTGCGAGTGTATCCATTATGAGTTCTATTTGACTCAACTAAGCACGTATGTATAACTGGTATCCTATTAAATATTGTAATATTAGTTTGAATTATGTTATTCTTTTACTGCATGATTACTACAGGGACTGGGCTTCTGTACAATATGGGAAGTTAAATGCCAGGTAAAAAAGTGGCAATCTAGATTTTTTAATCTCTTCTAAAAAAGTTATCAAAGCTGGCAATGGCGCCAGAATTATTCGCAGTAGGCAGTAGAGGAAATCAAGATTTTGTTGTTTATTAAAAATATATTGTGTGTATTTCTTAACTTATTTGCTATGAATATAGTTTTTTTTTATAGTATATATAAAATTATATTAAGGATTTGGATGTCCAACATTACAAAGACGTCTAAAAAGCGGCCATTGATGAAGCTAGGGTGTCATTGTTATTGCAAAGTTACCGAAACGAAACTAGCCAAAGATCTTCAACATTTGCACCATATTTTCTTCCCAGTAAACAATGGCAAAGTTATGGAAGATAAATATTGGCACTAGAGGTGTAGTTACTTCTGCATTCTATCTGAAAAATTCCACCATTTTCGACTTTATAACTAAACAATATAAAGTTGTTTTTATTGTACCACAACAAAAGGCAGAAACACCTTGTTAGTCATTGAAGAAATATTATCTTTTATGCCATTTATTCAAAAACATTCTTGTCAATTTACATAACAATCAAGTAAGTATTTTAAGTCGAGCACTGTAACAATCTACTTTTCATTGGGTGATCGGAAACGCGATGGAGAGAGCTACGTCAGTGCAGACTAAGTATTACTGGGATTTCGGAAGTACTGATTTAGTCAATGGACGATAATGTGGTAATATAGATTACACTTTATTATATAGTATTGCAAATTTTTAAATAAGGTGTAGTTTCTGTTACTATGTGGTGCATTGCATGTGCAACTGTGCAAACTTCGGCTAGTCTCCGTCGGGAACAATAGCCGACGGGATCTAGCCGCAATTTTAAAAGTTAATTATACTAAAGCAGGATAAGTTACTTATTTTCAATAAACGCGGGTCGAAACCGAGTAAGCTATTTCTGCTAATTACGAATGTGAAAGTTTGTGAGAATGTACCCATGCATGTTTGTTACTATATTACGCAACAACTTCTAATTGGATTTTGATGAAACTTGGTACGGAGATAGATCATATTTCGGAATAAGATTTTTATCCGGGTAGCACGAGCAAAGCCTCTGGTAGAAGCTAGTTTATTATAAAACAAAACTCTTTCTGTGTATTTGTTAGAACAGTTCATTGTAACTAATGAGAAAAAAGAGGGCAGACACGTGTAGCATACGATTTTGTTAAACAGACATATCTATACTAATATTATAAAGAGGTAAAATTTTGAAGCTTGTATGTAAGGGGTATCTTTGGAACCGCTGGTCAGATTGCTAAAATTCGATTTTGCTCACTGATAGATAGCTACTATGTTCCTGAGTGCTATAAGCTATAAAACATCACGTTACGATTAAATGGAGCCGCGCAGCGGGTAAAACCGCGTGAGAGTAGCTAGTTACTCGTAATTCGCAAGCATAGATTTGATCATAGACAAACCTTGAGAAATGATATGATACCATAATGATAGCACTAGTATATGGCCAATTTTGGATTCTAAAACTAAATCACAGGTAGGTAATTTCCAAGATAAAATAACGACGGAATCGAAAAACACGACAGGGCCGACGATCGCGTGATCGTGTCAACAGTTATTGTCGTAATATAAAACAAATAAAAAAAACATCTGTGGCTTAGACATTACTGAATTTAAAACTGATAAATTAAAACTTAAATGACCAAAAATTCTTTATTTAAAATTAAGTAAGTAGGTTCCTATTGGTGTGGTGTTACTTGAAATGGCAACATTGTATTTTTATTGAATTTGGTAGTGTACAGATAAAAAAATGTTATCATACACACTCAACACCCATTGTTTTATGTTAATTAATGTTATCTTTTAGGTGTTGAGCTTATTGACACAGATAAATATTCCTAGTAGTTGTTTTAATTGAACCATATGGAAGTTTAAGGCTTTATGTTAGTTACACATTTGTGATTGGTTTTTGAATGCAAAATTCTGAGCAATAGAAACAGACAATACTAATGTTCAGCGACATAAAAATTTAAGAATTAGAGGCTTAAGTCTGCTAATAAAGTTTAAAGTGAATTTCAAGTATTTATGTAGGCTGTAGTCAGTAAACTTGAGCAAAAATAATTATTCCAAAATGCTTGGCTTTACTAGGATAAAGTGTTAGTGTGAAAAATAAGTGTATATTACACCGCTGCTCTTGTTTCACCAAAACAATAGTGTGGTACTGTGATGTTACATACTCTCTATAAATAATGCCTATTGTTTAGAAATATTATGCCTTAATTATCAAAAGTTCAATGATGACATAATGTCTAACAGTTGATATAAAATCTTATTTAATTGATATTTATGTTTTTGTAAATAAATATCTGACATACTTTAACTGTATTATAGAATTTGTTAAATAAATAACAGCTACACTAATTCCAACACTATGCCTGTGAAAATAAAGAACCAATTGCAAATAATATATGAAAAACAAAATTAGGACATTGCAAAGCAAAAAGTAAACAAATCAACAAACTTTGATACAGATGGATGGCTTTAAACATAACAAAAATAGCGAAAAATAGCAGCAGTTACAAATACGCTAACCTGCGCATAGCAACCAAAAATACATTTCTAACTTAGCTAGCAACTTTATAAACTTGTATCAAAAAAGAAAATCAAGGAAAACGTAAAACAAACAGTTATTGATAACAGGAGCCTTACTGTTAGTAGCCAACGCTGATAAAAGGTGAGTCCAATCGACAGCGAGAAATACAGCAAGATTAACCCCAAGGACAGCAAACTTTTTTGAAAGCATACTTCTGACCATTTCGCTTTTGGTTTACTTGTGAACACGTCTTCTTCTCCTTCTGACTTCATAGGCAGCTGTTCATATTTTGCGCCTGGCATGGTTAGCACACGACGACAAAACTTCTCTAAGATTATAAATTATTTGCATATCAAATAGAATTTTCAGTACAGAGAAATTTTAAACAAGTTCAAAATACGACTTCAATAAAGTTTCCCGATTCCCGTTTCAGGATGCGAAACACTCCGTCTAACGTTGCACCACAGACTAACTATAATATTACGTTTTGTAATTTACGTAGTGGATTTACAATGTTGCCTATCTCAAAAAACAAATGTCATTGCCCTGGAATCATCTAAAAATTATGAAATAAATTAAAACGTGTTTTTTAATAAATTATTCTTAAGTTCTATTCACGTATTTTAAAATAATCTTCAACCTTTTTCTAAGTATTTACCCAATTATTTTGCCTTGCAACCATAAAGCCTAGATCCAAAGAGTGATGAAAAAAAACATAACACCTGCGTCATTCTCTCTTCTACTGACAGAACAGATTGTCTATGGTAAATTTATTGATTATGATTTCCTCGTCAAATTGTCTGCTGTTTCGTAAACAAAAAGAAAGATAACAAACATCACGTAACAAGGAATTATTCAAATCGAAATGACGCAGTATTTCAATATGTCCTGTGAATTGTTGATTTAAAGTTGAAGGTGTTGTGTTTCGAATTGAGTGATACCATGAACAAATTTTTTGTTTGACTTTGAACAAAGGTGATTGTGATTCAAGATGACGGACTCAAGTTCTTTTACTTCCCTCTTCGCTTTGGTGGACAGTCACTTATCAAAATGTAACTTAAACGACACACCTAGCGAGGATGGTCGTGTTGGAAGTTTGCCCATGCCCATGCTAAATCTTCCAAGAGGCTTGTCCGACACTGGCCTCAGTAACCCGCCGCCAAGACTACCTATACCAACATTCACGTTGAGCGAGAGTCCCATCGCCAATGTCCTCTCCGAGCAGTTGTCTAATATGTTCAAAGCCAAAGAACTCAAAAAGCAGCAAGAGCTTGAACAAGAGAAACTTCAAGAAGAGATGAGACGGATGGCTCTAGAAGAGAAGAACTGTGTCATAGACCTGATGAAAGCCGTGCAGAAACCACAGCTACCTGATCTAAAACCAAAGGAAGAGCCCAGCAGCATCAATAGCTCCTTTGAATCACTGGTCCTCGATTATAAAGAGTTTGTTGCTAATTCACCGAGGCGAACATCTGAAGTTGGCTTACCAACACCAGAGCCTGAGCCTTTATTACCGATTAAGACAGACATGTCTTATATACTTAAACAAAAGATCAAGAGAGGAAAGTGCTCAGCGTTTGGTAAAGTGCTGACTTCACGTTTACGTCCTGTCGCTGCACCATACCTAAGAGAGAAGGTTCCCACTAACATTGTAAGGTTTGACTTCAGCACCAAATCTCCATGTGACCTGATCAAGGAGAAACTAAAGAGGAAGCCAGTTCATACAACTAGTAATAGCTATGACTTTTTCTGATTAATGGGTGTTGCTATTGATGACGATGAGTCCGATCAATAGCAACATTAAAACAATGTTAATTTGTTTTGGAGTCACTCGCATCAATAGCGCATCTCATTATTTTAGTATAGAGTGTACTATGCATTTAAAAATATAATTGTATTAGCCTCTTGATATTTTGTCATTGGATTTCTATGTTAGAGCTTAGTACTCATTTTTGAAATAACTTTTTAATACACTTCAAGTGTTGTTATTTTTTAAAACCTGATCTTAAAATTGTAATTACCCACACGGTAATTTTTACGATCATAGACAATCACCATAGCCTATCTCTATCCTTTACTTAGAGTATGCTCAACATACTATGTTACAAATATATATATATATGACGAGACACCTATTTGTGTCTGTAGATAGAAAAAATGTACACTATAACTTAGTTTTAGAATGCTTTTATTCTGATAATTATGTAAATCGAAACAAGCAAGGCTAGGATGTGAAAATCATTTTAAATACTTTGTAAAATATTGATCAAACTCGTGACTGATGTAACTAAACTTTTTAATTGTTATTAGTACAATAGCGTTAATTATGCTAATATCCACATGATTATAATATTGTAGTGAGGCATTAATATTATAAATTAAATGTGTAAATAATATCCTGGTAGCGTAGTTACTAGTAAGTAGGAATGTAACTGTGAATTAATTCAATGTTACAAGGGTTTATTGTTTAATTAGTATTATTGTGGTTAATAAATTAAAGTTATATAGTATTCAGATAAGTTTTAAAGAATTTGATTTAATTGATTGCCAACTTGGCTTAGTCTGATGTTGTTCAAATAATTTTAATTCCATATATTACAATAGAAATTTTCTCTATGTTGGTATTGTCACTGTATGAGAACATTTATTTACTTATTTCAATAATCATGTAGATTGGTTATTGCTTGATAATTCCCTTATTGAATCCTTATTGAATCTTTAATTCTTTTTCTTTTTTTGTTTCTCAGATTGAGTAGTGGTATACTAATTAGTATTGGGTATTTTGGTAAAAACAACATATATTCAATTGAGTCGTCAGTTCATAAAACTGCTCCTACATTGCTTCTAAAATAGAGTTTATTAACATGAAACTTTTTCTAAAATATTTTTGTATCAAACTAATAAAATTGTGAAGTGGGTGCACCACTACCCACCTGAATAATTAAAGATTGATTATTTTGAGGAGTATTGTTAATCTACTATATAATAACGAATTTTACTAATGACGATTACAGTCACAATGGAACTGGTAGAATAAAGGGTGTGCATATGTAAGCATTGCATACAAAGTGGTATGCAAAAGAATGGCTAAATTACCACTTGACAGCTGCGATGTCGCAACACAACGCATCGCCGCTTTCTCCAACGTCACAACTTTAATGTGGGATTAGAATAAAAAAATGACTATTATACGGCGTTTTTGCCCATAGGTACTCATCCGATCCACGTCTCCAGCGTAATGGCAACGCTAATGTGCCATATCACTTATGGAACCTAAAAAAATTAACATTGAATGTCATTTACATACTCATGTAACTGTATACTCATCTCGGACTTGTAAAAAAAACATTGATTTTTAATTATCTTGATTTTTATTTAATAATATCTCAAGAAACACTTACTATCTACTAAAATCGCTCAAAATACAATAATTATGGCAAGACATAAATCCAACACTACTGTTACAAATTGTGATCTGATTACATTGCAGTAACACTATCATAATTATAAATAACCCACAGAAACATGTTACATGTACAACTTGATATAATAAAGTTTGAAGAAAAATTCAAACAGTGCATTTAAACTATATTTGTTAGCCTGAATATTGTTAGAAATATTGCGTAGACACACAAGCATATTTCTGTGGCAGAAATAGCCCTGAAATGATTTATGTAACCATTATTACAGATGAATGTGTTAGTGCATAAACAATTACAATATGGACACTGATTGGAAAATACACCAATTATATACTATCCCAGTTAACTATTTGAATCTAAATACATCAATTACTTGTATTAGGACTTATAGATTCTCAATCGAACACTTGCAACATTCCTTGGTTTGAACAAGGATACAGTTTGATGTCAAGGTGATAAAATGACATTATTTGACGGTGTATATGAAGCTGGAAGCCCAAAATTGAGAAATCTATAAGTACCGCAGAAACTATACACAATCCTGATTTAATTACATCTATGTATGTGACTACTAATTAACTAGGCTATTGTAGCACACGGCTTCTTGTATAAGCTATAGCGAGGTACTATTTCCCTTTTATGAACAACCGAAATGTGATCTGTGCGTAACAGACTGTTTGAATTTTGGATAAAAACTGAAAGTTTCAACAAAATATTCACTTATCTTAAGACCTAAGCTAGTTAATCTGTTCCTATAGTAGGTAACATAACTTATGTTATACATAACTATAATCTACGGAGGTCTACAGCCACTTCATAGTCCATATTATCCAACAAAACATGTCTCCCGCTAAAAACAGAAATAAGATTTCATCTAATTGTATATGCAGCAAAATTTTAAAAACTAAATACATCGCACTTATGAGTAAGGCCTCGTTGACGTTTAGGCGGCGCGTTGTGCGGTGCGATGTGCGGTTCGTCATACATTGCTCTTGATGTTCATATGTTTGTGTTTACACGGCTGTCGACACGACTTGATGCTGTAATGTAACAAACGAGATACGCCGCGCGACGCCCCGCGTTTTCGTAAACGAGACCTTACAATTTATTATTGATAAAAAAAAGATGTCAAAGATAGAAATTGAATTATTAAAAACAAATATTGTTTCCATTCACAAAAAAGGCTTCTAATCGTTTCTTTTATTAAGGCAGCACTTTAACTTTTTATTGCACCTATGTTAAATTTTGTTACAGAAAGACTAAATTGGTTTTCATATCTACCTACAGCATTGGCAAACATTATATACATTTTCCCGCCAACTTTCCAAAAATACACAGCTATAGATATCTTATAGATATTAAATAAACGGGAAAAGCTGATTTCTTCTACAAATACCTATGTACAATTTGGAAGAAAACAAACAGCAACAGTAACATATAGATGGTGTAATTAATATAACAAATAATTGTTAAGTTCACTATATAATAGTAATATCAAAGGGAATTTCCAAACACGATTTATACAAAATAGTATTTTTAAGCATAATACTTCTAAAATTATAATCTCGTAATACGAATTTTTATTTTTGTTTACACATATCACAACACGAGATATCAAAATGGCCGTACGTTGAATATTTGAACACATTTTATAACAATATTAAAGCCACACATGTCCCACGAAGTTGCCAATGCTCCTATCATAGTAGTAGAGACGTTGCTACATTGCGGGCGCCGATATTGTATCGAGATCCCGCTCGTTCAGTCTTCTAATCCGAAATTACTAATACTGTGCACTGCCCAATAAAAGATAACTTGCAAAGTAATATCAATGCTATCTCTGTCCTCTATTCCGTTTCGAGGTAGAAGTGTATGTTTGCTTCTAAATGAGCCAATTACTTAGTGTTCGATTCTACTTAAAACTTATTTATAAGTTGCGTCTTAATTAGCCGTTTGGGTCGTGCTTTTAAATGTATAACTAGGCACTATGGAGCATAATTGATTATGCTAAACTTAGTTGCGAGACTTGTGAAGTGTCGACGTAGTTTTTGTTAATTATTAATTATCTTACTTCTAGTTTGGCGAAGCTTAGGACCAACAGAGGCCTACTGTACAACGATGATTATTGTGAAATACAGTTTACAACGCTCTTAGTTAATGCTTGGATAAAACCGAGAAAACTGGTTACAGTAAAATATAATTAAAAACTCTTTACGTCTCCATCTGTTGAGAGTTGGTAAATATACAGAATTATTATTTACATATTATCCTATATTTGCTGCATTACGTTTATGACAATCCTGAGCTATGTAATCTTAATCTATAATGAATACAATAAATAACTATTGCAGGCTGATTCTTATTTCTATACATTGAAGTAACACAGGTGCGGCCAGTTGACTAATTTGTATACTTAAACATGTTTGAAATTGTGATGTTGACATCAATTACTATATCAAACGCTATCACATTAATTAGCGAGTTGCTGAGCAAAAATGTGTTCTATGTCAAAGATATTATAACAATAAATTGCTTAACTATATGTGCATATTTGGCAATTACAGGTTATTTTATTTTAATGTCTTACTAACATTATTTGTAATTACATGCCCTAATACTATTATAATTAAGTTACATTTAAATGTATCATTTGTGTATTAATTTACATTTTGTGATGTTTTATAATTAAATTGACTTTTGCGCACATAACATATCTATTTAAATAAAGTATTTTTAAGCAAATGGATACATTACAGCTAGGCAAATTAGATATTATTTTTCACATTTTAAAATTTATATTACAAAATTTTTATGGGTGTTTTTTGTTTTGTAGACATATTCTTGGCATCAAATAGCAAGACTTTTCTTGAAAATCAACTTTAAAAATACAAACATTAAATACCTACTTATTTATAACAAAAAGAGAAATAGTGATTATTTTAATTACTTATTACATTAGTAGAAATGGAAAATAATTTATTATTGACCAATCAAATATGTAATTAGGTAAGTTTGGAATCGGTTTCCCACAGAATGCTCGACACGTGACTATTAGAAAACCAGTTACACGTAGTTCAAAGCACCATTTATTGCACATTTATTATCTATGGATGTGGACAGTACTGCCATTGAATGAGTTCCTAATAAAAAAATAATGAAATAACATACCGCTGTAATGATATCTACATCAATACTAATATTATAAAGAAGTAAAGTTTAATAGTTTGTATGTAGGGGGTAATCTTTGGAACCGCTGTTCAGATTTCCAAAATTCTTTCACTGAAAGATAGCTACGATATTCCTCACTACTGAGTAATGCTGTAAATATTATACTTGATTTG